CAGTGACAGAGGGAGAGGGTGACTAGTGACAGAGGGAGGGGATGACTAGTGACAGAGTTAGGGAGGGAGTGACTAGTGACAGAGGGAGGGATGGGGTGACTAGTGACAGTCACCATCTCCCTCCCTCTGTCACTAGTCACCATCTCCCTCCCTCTGTCACTAGTCACCCCCTCCCTCTGTCACTAGTCACCCCCCCTCACTCTGTCACTGGTCACCCATTCCCTCCCTCACTCTGTCACTAATCATCCCCTCACTCTGTCACTAGTCACCCTCTCCCTCACTCTGTCACTACTCACACCCTCCCTCACTCTGTCACTGGAGTGAGGGGATGACTGGTGACAGAGTGAGGGAAGGGGTGACTAGTGGCAGAGTGAGGGAAGGAAGGGGTGACTGGTGACAGAGTGAGCAGATGACTGGTGACAGAGTGAGAGAGGGGGATGACTAGTGACAGAGTGAGTTAGGGGGTGACTAGTGACAGAGTAAGGGACAAAGGGGGTGACTAGTGACAGAAGGAGGGATTGAGTAGTGACAGAGGGAGGTGGTGACTAGTGACAGAGGGAGGGAGGTGGTGACTAGTGACAGTCACCACCTCCCTCACTCTGTCACTAGTCACCCCCTCACTCTAGTGACAATGAGGGAGGGGGTGACTAGTGACAGAGTGAGGGAGGTAAGTGGTGACTAGTGACAGAGTTAGGGAGGGAAGGGGTGACTAGTGACAAAGTGAGGAAGGGGTGACTAGTGACAGAGAGAGGGAGGGGTGACTAGTGACAGAGTGAGGGAGGGAAGGGGGTGACTAGTGACAGTCACCACCTCCTTCACTCTGTCACTAGTCACCCCCTCCCTCACTCTGTCACTGTGTCACCCCCTTCCTCACTCTGTCACTAGTCACCCTCTCTCTCACTCTGTCACTAGTCACCCTCTCTCTCACTCTGTCTCTAGTCACCCCGTCCCTCACTCTGTCACTAGAGTGAGGGGGTGACTAGTGACACAGTGAGGGAGGGGGTGACTAGTGACAGAAGGAGGGAGGGAGTAGTGACAGAGGGAGGTGGTGACTAGTGACAGAGTGAGGGAGGGAAGGGTGTGACTAGTGACAGTCACCACCTCCTTCACTCTGTCACTAGTCACCCCCTCCCTCACTCTGTCACTGTGTCACCCCCTTCCTCACTCTGTCACTAGTCACCCTCTCTCTCACTCTGTCACTAGTCACCCCGTCCCTCACTCTGTCACTAGAGTGAGGGGGTGACTAGTGACAGAGTGAGGGGGTGACAGGTGACAGAGTGAGGGAGGGGGCGACTAGTGACAGAAGGAGGGAGGGAGTAGTGACAGAGGGAGGTGGTGACTAGTGACAGTCACCACCTCCCTCACTTTGTCACTAGTCACCCCTTCCTTCCCTCACTCTGCCACTAGTCACCCCTTCCCTCACTCTAGTGACAGAGTGAGGGAGTGACAGAGAGAGGGAAGGGGGTGACTAGTGACAGAGTGAGAGAGGGGGTGACTAGTGACAGAGTGAGGGAGGGGGTGACTGTCACTAGTCACCCCATCCCTCTCTCTGTCACTAGTCACTCCCTCCTAACTCTGTCACTAAACACCCCCTCTGTCCTTACTGACAGAGTGAGAGAGGGGGTGACTAGTGACAGAGTGAGGGATGGGGTGACTAGTGACAGTCACCCCCTTTTTCACTCTGTCACTAGTCACCCCCTCTCTCACTCTGTCACCAGTCATCCCTTTCTTCCCTCACTCTGCCACTAGTCATCCCTTCCCTCACTCTGTCACCAGTCACCCCTTCCTTCCTTCACAGTGACAGAGTTAGGGAGGGAGTGACTAGTGACAGAGAGAGGGATGGGGTGACTAGTGACAGTCACCCCCCCTCACTCTGTCACCAGTCATCCCCTCACTCTGTCACTAGTCACCCCTTCCCTCCCTCACTTTGCCACTAGTCATCTCTTCCCTCCCTCACTCTGCCACTAGTCACCCATTCCCTCACTCTGTCACTAGTCACCCCTATCTCCCTCCCTCTGTCACTAGTCACCCACTCCCTCACTCTGTCACCAGTCACCCCCACTCACTGTGTCTCCCCCTCACTCTGCCACCACTCAACCCCTCCCTCACTCTGCCACCTGTCACAACCTCCCACACTCTTCCACCTGTCACCTTCTCCCTCACACACTCTGTCACCTGTCACATATGCATTCACACAGACACTATATACAAAAAAGCACATTTAGTCATCCAGACATGCACAAGTGCATTCATACAGACTCAAATACAAACATGCATTGATACACAGGTCTTCACAATACACACATCCAAAGGAATGCCGTATTATGAATTATATTTAACATTTATTTAATGCACATATATTTGGCCTTCAGAGGGCCTGGGATCTTATTTTGCCCGGGGGCCCCAAAGGCTCTCAGTCCGCCCCTGAGGGGAACCAATCACTATACAACAATGGTATGAAGCCTTCCACGCCACTAAACGAGCATCAAAAAGCCTATCTCTGTGGGAAGCATACAGTAAAATAGCAATGCGTTGGTATCTAGTCCCTCTCAGATTGGCAAAGATATTCCCCAACACCTCCCCACTGTGCTGGAGATGCGAACACCAGCAAGGGTCTCTACTGCATATTTTCTGGGACTGCCCAGCCATAAAACCATTTTGGATCACTATCCAAAAAATCATACGGGAAACTACTAACCTGTCAATTCCACTAAACCCAGCACACTACCTACTTCACATACTACCTACGACAAACCCAACAGGAAACCCATCAGGAAACCCATCAAGCACAATCGCCATAATTATACATCAAAATATATAGCATCAAAATGGAAACACAACGTGCCCCCAACTCAGGAGGAAGTAACACACAGAGTGGATAGTATATGCTTATACGAACAGATGGCACACAAAATGCAGGGAACACCTGAGAAACACAACACCTACTGGGGGGGATGGCTGGACGCCCGAAAAGAGAAGGTACAGGTAGACAATCACCAACCTAGATACCAAAACTAAGACAGCTGGAATCGGGAGAGATTGCATCACATAGAGAGTGCAACTCATGGCGACTGACGAATAGACGGCCCTACAAAGGACCCAAGTCACACACACTGCATGCATTCAACTTCTAGGCCGGGTGGGCCAAAGGTACAGTCAAGTTATAGGTACAGTTAAAGTTAAGGGTTATCCCCCCCCAACTTCCCCCCCCTATCCCCGGTTGCATGATATGACAGAAACACCTAAAGTCACAGACTCAACAACTCAAGGGGCACAGTAAACCAAAGCTCTAAACCATAATCGCTCCCACCTAGCCCCCACGCAGACGACAACTCTGAAACGAGCGCAACACGAGCGACATTAAGACGTGATACACATATGTCAGAAGGACTATTCTATAAAGCTGAAAATGTTGTCAACAAAAAAAGATGAAACTAATGTAACAATGTATGCTGTAATTGGTTAATGAGCTGCTGCGCCAGCACAATATTATGATTATCACTATTATTACTGTTATCATTATCGTCTGTATCACCATCAGTATCATGATTATGTATCAGCACCGGAATACTCGTTAAAACCAATAAAAAAATTATATATGGAAAAAAATTTGGAAAGTAATAGTAAAGATTAGTCCAATTGTTTCAAAAGGGTTTTTGAGTGATTCAAAGAGTATGAGTGTCCCAAAGAGTTGAATGTCCGAATTGAGTGTCCGTCCCAGAGAGGTGAATATCTGTCTTTGAATCTTCCTCTCTTCCATTTGTTCTTACTTTTTAAAGGGCAATACTCTCTGCACGCAGGGCCGGACTGGGAATTAAAAGCAGCCCTGGAAAAAAATATTTACCAGCCCCATAATGCGTCGCACCAGCATAGTCTGCAGGTACAGAGTTAGAACTGATAACTTAAAATTAAAAAGTACTTCAACGTAAAAAGCGCACTCATAGGCTTCAAAATAAACAAAAGTGCAGATTTATTTTAAGCAGACGTGCCTTTGCATATAATCAATGTTTCAGTCCAACTACCTTGACATATTAAGGAAAGCTTGTTAATGGGACTGAAATGGTGAATGTATGTAGGGCACAACTGTAAAAAATGTTTATTTTGAAGTCCTATGCTGGGAATTGTGAGAACCGCGAGGGAGCATGGTACAGAGACAGGCTCCTCCTCCCTCAGCCATCAGCAGCCAGCGACAGGAACCGGGCCGCTGGACCGGGGAAGCTGCCACCCGGCCCGGCGGCTCCAGCCAGGAACCCGGCCGGCCCCCTCTGAGTGCCACCAGACTGGCCACCGGTATCCCGGTGGGCCAGTCCGGCCCTGTCTGCACGTCAGTAGTTGATCAGACGAATAGGGAACTGGAGGTGTCTATCTGGTATTATCTAGGTTTTGGTCAGTAGATGGTGAAATTACATCACCAACATTTGTCATGGAAAGGGTCAACTAAAAATGATGACTTTGACGTCATTTGGCTTATCTATAATGGCCACTATAACATTTGCTGCCAGTTCAAAGGATTTCCCCAGTCTTCGTGGCGGCAATTTGAATTGTAATTCTATAATTGACACCCCCTAACCTTAATTTTACCTTTTACTTACAATGGGACTTTTTAAGATTTAGAAAGTAAAATTAATTTCTTGATGTTATCTGTCATTGTTATCTGGTACTTGTGTCTGTGTTTGAAAATATTTCTATTTCATTAACATTAAGAAGAGTATTCCATCCCCCTTCTGCTGTGAGACTCGTTGCCTTGTTTACATAATGCATTCCTTAGCTCAGACTTGAATGAGTAGAGTTACAGATAGAAGGAAATTATGTGTCTTTCTTAGCCTGAAAATCCAAAATGGAGTCAGTTCTGTTTTGAGTCTGACTCGCAATATACACTTTAAATTTCTATCTTAGCACAAAATGTCTGCCGATATAAATATACTGACCTAACCCCCCTTAGTGATTAACATAGCAATGATTAATTTAGTCTATGAATAAGCACTAGTTACAAGACATTGTGCATTCCTATCACTTCTTCTGGCATTGGCCTGTGCGTGTAATGAACATTTTTGTACCTGTAAGTGCTTTGAACTTTACACTTAGTACAATAAACCATAATACCATTATAGTAAATCCAATAACAATTTTAACATGGATGAACCAGTCAACACGAGCAATAAGGTCAGTATCTAGCTCAGAGTATTTAAATGTGTCCACAGAAATGTTATCTTTTCTAATTGACATTTGGATAGTGTGGTTGGGCTTATGGTCTAGCAAGAACTTTAGATTAGAATCTAGCGGGATATCTAGATTCTGGAAGGGAACCATCATCTCAATAGCACTTTCAATGACGTCAATGTACACTGGGTATAGTGTAACGTCACCGATGGTGATACGAGAGTCATGGGGTACCTCGATCAGTGAGACAGGTGCTGGTAAGGCAATTACTTTATTAGTCACCTGGTCCCTGCGAAAAACACTTATGTTTTTAAGACACGTGCTTACCAACCATTTATCTTTTACTAAGATAGCATGTACCGACATTGTTACTGTCGGTTTTTGGGAGTTAGATACAGTATGGCCAATAAAAAGCAAATCTCCATGCATTCTGGATCAATTAAGAGAGGTATAGCGCACCCCATCTCAAAGGCCAGATTTAATTGCATAGGCTCAATTGTCTCTCCATCCACACTGGCAAGCATCACATGAACAATATCCTTGGATACAAAATACAGAGGTATGCGTCCCCCTGCCAATTCAATCATTCCAGTTTGCACTTCGGCAAGAAAAGCAAGTGTGTGGAACAATATTGGGTCATGCAGAAATAGAAGTTCACGCTGAAATAAGTCATGACTTTGGTGCAACTCAGTGGACTTGGTAATTAACTCCGAATGCAAATGTGTTGTAACAACTGTGTCTCTCACAATAGTTAACATGTCCTGGAGAAGTGTTCTTTGCTGGTTTATCACCTGATGAATATCGTTAATGTGCTGCTTTAGTGCATAGATTTCCATATCCTGCTTTTGGACAGTAATAGAGACCTTCCAGTTGCGACAATTGCACCGACAGTGGCACAAACTAATGCAACAATTATAGCGGTGAGGAACCTGTTAGGTCTGTTGCTCATCAAAATAGTACTGGATACAAATGGTTTCCGGGCTTGCTCCAAGATGTTTTGCACATGGTCCTGTGTTCTTTGGAGGTGCATCTGGTACCAAGTAACTCAGGAAGCTGCATCAATGAAATGTTGTACGCCTTCTCGATGGAAATCTTTGGGTCCAAGCTGCCGAACACACGTTAGGTCAGGATCCTCTTCCCTGTCAAGATGAACCCTGGTGTCTCTTGAATCAGGATGCTGGAGGATGGTCCCATCTCTGCGATCGGATTGGTCCGTAGCTCTTGGCACAGAAGCAGTACGATCCAGAAACACGCCACATCCTTCTTGGACATCTTTCAAGATTGACGGATCAGGAACTCGTTTCGGACTTATCTACTAATGATTCAAGGGTTGTTAAGCATACAAACTTATAACAGTGTGACATCACTTGGCCTAGGACAACACATTATCCACGATTCATCAACGTTATGTATTCTGTCTAATTATAATTTTATAACTTCATCCCTCACTACATTTATTACTGACTGCTCAGCAATACATCTATAGCAGCTAAACAAGCTAGTAACCTGCTTAGAAAATGTAGTTATTGGATGGCAAGGAAATGATTACTGACATGAACGTACATGAGATCATGGCACATCACAACATTTCACATCATACGATACCACGTGAATCAAGCATTCATCCAGGTTAGTCTTTCACTCTTCTGCATCCGAATCTACTCCTATAATCCTTAATTGAGATTTAGGATAACAAGCATGCAACAGTTAATGTGAACCCACTTTTCAATAAAATCACCATCCTTAGGAATTTTGATCTTGTACGCTACTGGGGAAATTTTGTCAATTATGACATATGGCCCTTTCCAAGAAGGTAAAATTTTTTTTCCTTAACTTGATTTCGCGCAAAGTTATACAGATAGACTTGATCTGTTATCTCATATACCGTTTTCGTGGTTTTTAAATCGGAATAGGTCTTAACCCTTGTCCCTGCTTTTTCTACATTCTTTTGGGCAAAAGCAAACACATGCTGTAAGTGCTTGCGCAAATCTTCGATGTACTGATGTGTAGTGGCAGCATTGATCCAGTTATGATCTGAAGTACGATATAGTAAATGTTGTGGTAAAACCATCTTTCTTCCTGTCATCAATTCAAAAGGTGACAATTTGGTAGCAGTGCTAGGTGTAGCTCTAAATCGCCATTAAAACTAAGGGCAATTTAATGTCCCAGTCTTTACAAGACTCCTTAACATACTTATTCAGAATATTAACGATAGACTGGTTATATCGCTCAACCCCCCCACTAGACGCAGCGTGGTATGCAATATGTAGCTTTCTGTTAACAGCTAGGATTTTCCACATCTTCGCCATTACTTTGCTGGTAAAATGACTACCTCTGTCTGACTCAATTCTTTGAGGCAGACCGAACATGGAAAAGACATGGTTAATCAACAAAGTGGCACACACGGTACTCGTGTTCTCTTTGCAAGGCAAACATTCGATCCACTTTGTGTACATACATGTAACGGTTAACATGTATTTGTTATCTCTTCAAGACCTTGTTACAGGACCTGTAAAGTCCATTTGAATATCAGACCAGGGTAATAACACCCCCCTCTTCTGAAGTGGTGCACAATGGGTTGGACCATGGGGTTAATATTGCGGACAAATCAAGCATCCCTGACAGTATGTCTTTACATGTCTTAAGATGTGTGGCCAATATGTATAATCACGCAATATCTCATATGTGATCTTATCACCACGATGCCCAGATGTAGGTGCATCATGTGGGTGTTGGAGCATTAACCCTCGGTATACATTTGGGACTACCCATTGTTATATGCCAAATTCTGGCAACCCATCCATGATATTAAATTAGACTTTATATCTTATCAAGATTCGTAAATCTTAATTATTTTTGCAATCCTCATCTGGATTGGCAGTAGGGTCTTCTATATGTCTATAGAATATGCCTAGAACGGGATCGTTCTTTTGACTGGTAATCAGGTCCTCACTAGGAGCTTCTTGACTCAATTGCACGACATTTAAGTCGGCTTTATCTCTAGCTTGTTGTCTAGTTATGGATTCAACATGAATTGAACAATGTTTAGGGTTTCACCATTGATGGCTGCTTGTTTTGCCAGTAAATCGGCCAAGTCGTTACCTTCCTTGTCAACACCTTGTATTTTAGAATGGCCTTTGGTCTTCTTCCAATATATGGTGAAACCATTTTCCTTAACCAGTTCATCGATTTTACAAAACAATTTCCCATGTTTAACAGGTTTGTTATTGCTTTTCAGCATTTGGTTACGTTTCCAGCTAGGCAGATATTCAACGAAACTGTTGCGAACATAGTTGGAATCAGTTATGATAAATTCTTTGATACTATATTCTATTGCCATTTGAATGGTCTTACTGCACAGAGTTCGGCTATCTGACTGCTTTTGGGACCAATATTGTATCCTATAGATACATTGAGATAATCACCTGTCCAGGCGATTCCGATACCTGCAACTAACTTTCGTTCATTACCAACGGAGTGGTGATATGAACAACCATCAATGTATACCCACGGTAGTGGTCGACCGTATTCCTCGTCATAAACTTTATAAGGGTATAGCAATTGCTCTTCTAGGAAGTCATCTCCAGTGTCATCATCCAGAGATGGAGCAGTACAGTCATGTAATTCTGCTAAACCTTGGGCAACTGGGCTTCTCTTATTATGTTTATAACGGACTTCTAACGGCCATCCCTGTAAGGATAGAGTCCATGCAGTAATCCGACTGTTAGAGAGATTACCGCCTGATTCTTTCACTCTGCAGATACTGTAGAGTTTGGTGAGCAGTTTCTACAATTATTTTCTCACATTGGATATAGCTACGAAAATGTTGTAGTGCCCAAACAGTCGACAATAACGTCTTCTCACACGTGTTGAATTTAACTTCAACAGGTGACAAAGTCTTGCTAGCATATGCAATAACTTTGTTTAGACTGTCCTGCTTCTGATACAGAACAGCACTTATGCTTAAATCGACATATTTTGTCTCCAGATAGAAAGGTTTACCCTGGGTATGCTAAACAGGGTGCCTGAGTGAGCTTTCTCCTCAGTGCACTTACCACTTGGTCCTGAGGCTCCCCCCAGTTTCAGGTAGTTTCCTTTTTAAGCAGGTGTAAGAGTGGTTTCGTTATTTCTGCATAGTTATCTATAAACTTACGGGAGTAGTTAGTCATACCAAGGAATGATCTTAATACCCTGATGTTAGTGGGTGTTTTGGCCTTTAGTACAGCTTCAACCTCCTTCTTCTGTGGATTTTAGGAAGTGCTTTTCAGCAAGACATCGTTGACCTATGATAACGTTCCTCTCGAGTGCATCAGGCATAGCTTTATGCATGAACACAGCGAATTCATGACCAGAGTTTATTTAACCGAACGGCATACGTGTCCAGGTATACTGCTGCTTTCCAAATGTGAAAGCCAATTTGTATATGTCTTCATTATGGACTGGTACAGTCCAATATCCCTGCGCACAGTCAATGGCAGTGGAAATTTTGGATCCCTGCATTTGTACCAAACATTGGTCTATGTATGGCACTGACCAACCAGACATATAGACACGTTTATTTAGCTGTCGTAAGTCAGCGCATAAACGCCATTGTCTAATAGGTTTCAGAATTCCCAGGATCGGATTATTATATGAACTGTGCATCGGACGTACACTTCCCCTTTCCTTTAAATTCTGAATGATGTCTTGTAGACCATCGTATGAAACCAATGGAAGTCTATATTGTTTGATAAATACAGGTGGTAAATTTGGATTAGTTTGTATTCTGGCTACATGGAGGTTAGTTAACCCACAGTCATAGGAATCTTTGGCAAAAATACCTTGGAATTCCATAAGGATTTCCCTTAGCTGTTGTCGCTCAGCATCATTGGAGCAACCGTCAGCTAAAGATATTTGCTCTTCTAGCCTTTTCTGAAATCCTGGAAAGATTTCAGGCTGGCCTATCTCATAGGCTTCTTCAAGCCTAGATGTTAGGTCAGTTCGGTGTTGACTTACTTTTTCTCTTTGGTCGTGATATTCTTGTGATTCCTGCTCATTGAGCGGATGATCGAAGGTGATTGATGCTTCTTCGATTTTACATGAGCCTTCTTCGACATTAAAGGGATATACAGATAGGATAGTGAATAATCCTTCTGGGGAGGAATGGAATATTTGATCGACAATTATTCTTCAGGGATGAGGCCTATAATTTGGTTTTGGAAACCAAATGTATAGTACTCCGCATCCAATGCTAGACCTAATAATGTTCCTTTTGGTATAGTAACACTATTGGGTGTAACATTGTTGACTATTACATAGGTGGGATTCTTACCGTTGGTGTATGTGTTACCACCATCCCTAATTGTTGTATCCTATTGGATAAACAGATTTGGGCATCAGAGTTTTCCAATCTCTGGCCCTTCTTGACCTGTAGGAGTAAAAGAAAGTTACTTCTCCCTTGTGGAATTGTTATGTCAGCAGGTACTTGGATACATACTGCATATGGTAGTACTTGTCCTGATTTCAGGGCGTTTTCCTCGTATTGGTATCCACAAGGATTACCTTTTAACCTTTTCCACAAGTTGTAGTTGATTGGGTCAAGGTGTATGGCAAAGTGATGTATGACATCATTGCCAATGTAAACTTGATAGCGAGGTTTGCCTATTACTAGCAGCAAAATGTTTAGCCGTCTTATTTCCGATGGAAATGGATAGTAAACATTTTGCTCTCACATTGTGGTTATCTGATTCGCCATCCAGGTTCTGAATCCATTTGTCGTGGGGAAGCGTACGTGATCATTTTAGGATTAGCGATCTGCTTTAACATACTTCTGCTAATATAGCTGTTCTCACTTTTTACATCCAGCTTTGCATTCCTGCTTCTTCCTAAGTAGTTTATTTGAATAGGAAAGAATAAGTTATTAACTCTTTCAATTCTGGCAAGGAATTGCGCATGACCTGCCAGGTCAACAGATTCACCATAGTCCCTGTGGAGAGAAATGGTTAGAACATCACATTCCAGAGAGACATTCTGGATACTCTCTGTAGCAACTGTTACGGAATGTTCATCTACAGGTGCAATTGCGTCATTCACCTGCAGGATAGTCATGTCAGGTGACTGACTATTCCTAAAATGTACCTCAATGGAGTAAGGTCTTTCTTCTATCACATGGCAGTTGTGTTCAGATTGAACATGTGATTTCTCATAGGTTATAAGAACCTTCGCTTGTGACCATACAATTCCATTCACACAGTCAATAATTGTGTTAAGTCTTCTGAGTATGTCTATACCCAGAATCATTTGGTTATAGGTGAGATCTATCACTTTTAATGG